TTTATTGCAATAAATAAGAACACAGACGTTAACGCAGAGCCTTCAGGACGTCTAAATCAGTAATACCAGGCAGTTCTAATGGCTAACTACAATATTTATACTGTTTCAACACACAGATCAGATCATGATGTCACTCCCAGGTGCCTAGGCCAAAAAAAAAAAGATAATAATGATAATTACACAGACAAGAGTGTTACTCCCAGCAGATCTTGTCCTGCTCAAAAAACATCCCTGTTTATAACCAAAAGAACAGAGTAAAACTCAGTAAAGCTGATGTCATTGGGTCAGTTGAATATATTATAACCTGACCTAAATAAGAATAAGAATCGTTCCARTACGCCATCAAAAAACAAAAAATAGAAGAGGTTGAATTAGAAATAGAGTTTTATCACCTGCCTGCAAAGGTAAAAGACTAAATGGTTGGTCTGTGTGCTATTTGGTTTGTAGCGTTAGCAAAAAATCTCATCACCCAGTGGATATATTCTAATGAAATCCTTAGAACGTTAAGACTGAAAGTAACTTTTATGGACAAACTCATTCAAGATCACAAAAAAACAAAAGTGACAATAAATTAGGCAAATGTACAAATATTGTGGTAAAATCTGGTGTGGCAGTAGGTGAGATTTATCCACAACACATAAGATCATACATGAGAGGTTAAAGTCATTTTAGTTTGACCAGTTTTAGTTTAAAACMCTGGCYTAAAAGGCAGCAGGTAATTTGCACTATTTGCCTTTTTGTATTTTAGTCATTAAGATGAAAGAAAAGGCCACAGAGCCGACAGCACTCAGGGACTGAACCCAGGACTCYTCCTCATCAATCCTGCCATCTTCTGTCTCTGATGTGTCGAGGTTCGATCTTGAAGCGCTGCCTGTTCTACCTTCACGTAGCAGGGACTGTTTCATTTCTGGTGTGCGCTGCTGTCGTGAGAGTTGTTTTACTTTCTGTTCCCTGCTGACAGAAAAAAAGAAAACCTCCATTCAGATAAAAGTTGCCACGCTCCAACAGATTTAGGGGCTGGTTTGAGAGCTGTGCGTACAGCTTGACATTGACATCAGGTCACGAAGCGCACGCGTAAAGTCAAAGGAAAGACTCGTGTGTTGATGCCAAGCTGTAGCACATTTGTCCTCCTTGATTCTCAGAACGAATGCGGTTTTTTTTCCTTTCTTCTTGTGAAACGGCAAGGAGACGGTCGACAGGGAAACAAAGAATAGCACTACTGATTACTCAGAAATCAGCTTTCCTGGTGGCTTTCTTCCTGCTGGGCTGCATGATTGAGTTCACAGCTGAGGTGACCAATTTAGTACCCAAGGAGAAGACTGACTTAAAAAAAAAAAAAAGAAATGACGTCTAAAGAAAAAAAAAGAGAGACAAGCAGAAAAAAAGACATTTCTAATAAGGGCAAAACTAAGGTGCTAAAATAAACAAGTAAGGATGTTTTACAGTAATGATAATTTACTGAAAATGTGATTTTTTTTCACTAACGTAATGAGACGGTGAAGAGCAGGTCTTAGGATAGTGACTAACTTCAGTCATATTTAAAATCACTCCTAATGTGTTTTATATTTTAGTGTTGAGAAGGCACTCACCCAATGTAAAAAAAATGCCTTACTTCCCATATTATGGGGCGCCAAGTGTAAAATAACCTGTTAAAATACATCACTAGCACAAGTTCATTATTTAGCTCACTTTCTGAGTGTAAAATCCTGGTTAAAAATTCCCACCAACATTCTTTTGTTATTTAGCTCACTGTTTTAACAATTGGCTAATTTTTATTCAACATTAAATTTAAAAGTTAAAAAATGTCAAAAATAAATTCTAAATTTAAATGTGGAACTCTAAATGTAAAAAATGAAATCTTAAACGCTGCAGCTAATTGATAAAGCTTTGAAGAATTTCAGATTAGAACACAACCTTTGCTGTTGGTGCGTCACTTTTGTCGTGACATCATCATCCTGCGACAAAGGCAACCGCTAATGCTGCTAACTCTGCTGAAGATGGTATTTAAAATTTAAATTCAAGATGTGTTTGTTGAAAACATTATGGATGGTGCCGGCAGTTTGAAGTGCAGCTCAGACCCCTCGCCGCCCTGCAACTCCAAGTTTGATGTCCTAAGGAAGCATTAGCAGGGTTAGCTTTAGTTGCTTTTGTCGCAGGATGATGACGTCATAACAAAAGCCGAGCCACGCCCCAACCGCAAAGCCTACATTTTATTCCGAAATACTTAAATGTAAACTTTAACACTTAACCACAACATTTAAGATTACATTTTTACATTTAGATTTAGGATTTAACATTTAGACATAACACGTAAATGTAACACTTAGTAAAAATTTGCTAAATGGAAGAACAATGAGCTAAAAAACAATAAAATGTTAGTGGAAAGTGACCAATCCTCTGCATAACTAGTCCTGAAGAAGCTATCGAACTCTTCAAACTCTTTTGTTTTTGGGTTTTGTTGTTCTGCAGGAGAGGTTTGAAGCCTTGTTTAGGATCTACGACGAGCAGGTGACCTTCCAGATGTTTAAAAGCTTCAGGAGAGTCCGGATCAACTTCAGCACCCCAGAGGCGGCTGCCCGAGCCCGCATCGAGCTGCACGAGTCGGAGTTCAATGGCAAGAAAGTAAAACTCTACTTTGCTCAAGTGAGTAGGAACTGATTAAAAAAATGCAAAAAATTCAGGCCGTAGTTTCAAGCTGAATAGTAGAAAAAGTATTTTAGTGTCAATTTAGATGAAAATCTGCTTCCTGGGTATTAAAATGTAAGTTGAGTCAAACTGATGGCTTTTTTTTTCTCACTAATGCGTCCTCAGTCGTGACCTCTGCAGCACCTTCTTCTAGTATGATGTAAGAGGATTAAGGATTTTAGAGCTCTGAAAAAGGCCACATAGAGGRATTGTAATAATGGCAATTGGAGGCTATTAAAACCCTAAAAATCTCTTCGAGAGAACGAGCCTGCAATTAAACACTTAAGGACTCAAGATTCTTCGGCATTTACAAATGAACAGGAACTTTGACAGCAACCCCACTGTTGTCAATCTTCATCTTCATCTCAATCTGCATCTTCATGTCAACATTTGACA